TGTGTCACCTAAACTAAAATCTCTTTCCCTCAGAGGAAATGTCAGTTTGGACGGAAGAGGAGTGTCGAGGTTTTGAGCAAGGACTCAACACTTACGGAAAAGATTTCAGCTCAGTACAAGTGAATAAGGTTAGTGTTTAGTCACATTCCTCATTCCAAAACCTTGCTGTTGTTATACAATTTTAACTGTTCAAATACTGAATAATTTAGAGTAATCAGTTGGTGAACTTGGCTGTTTTTTTTTTTTTGGCTTTCACAAAGGTAATTGTTACTTAATTAAACTTTTCCAGGTGAGAACTAGATCTGTAGGGGAATGTGTGGCCTTTTATTACATGTGGAAGAAATCTGAGCGTTATGATTTCTTTGCACAGAAAACCTTTTAGTGCCATGTTAAAAAAAAAAAAAATCTAAGATTAAATTTGAAATATTACAATAAAGTCTAAATGTTTCAAGAATTAATTCAAAATTACGAGAATAAAGTCGAAATTGTGAAAATCAATTCGTAGCAATTACGAGATTAAAGTTATAATATTTTGAGTATATTCTAGCCTATTACGGCCGAATTGGGAGCACCGGGAGAAATTGAAAGTCTTTCAAATTATGTTAGTTTTATAGCGAAATACAAACAATATGTCTTACAATAATGTGTTTTTCACGCTCTTTAATAAACTAATTTCCCTATGTGAAAAATATAGCACTACAAGGTTACTAAAAATAAAAGAAATAAAAAGACAGTCCATCCATTTATAGTACAATATATACAACCTGTTCATAATCGTTATAAACCATTACAACTATACATACTGTGAAGAATTTAGTAACAATTCATCTGATGATGTGAAGACAATAATAAAATATTCGTTTTTTTTTTCTTCATTAAGTGACACTTTGTGGAGTTAATCCACAAAAGTATTTATTATTAAATGTTAAATGTATTATGTGTCTTTAAGAATATTAAATGTTTTCTTCTGATTTCACAGGTTTAGGAAGCCATTCCTCCATGCCCCTTCTCTGTGTCACAGATGAGATATCTCAGACAAACGGCTCCGCCACGTGTCCAGATATTTCCACAGCAAACACACCACCCTGCTCTAACCCTGACACCAGCAGCCCGAGCACACAAGTCATGGAGATCACAGTCAAACAGAAGGAGGAAGAAGAACTCTGTGAAAGACCTCTCAAAAGGCTTCGGACTGAAACAGCCCAGCAGTGAGGGGTCTGTCCCCCACAACAAAACAGAGACCGTCTGACTCACCAGCAGAAACCCAGAACTCCTGACCTCAGATGAGGGGTTGATACAGGCCCTGTTTTTAGCATGAAGGTAGCTGAGATGTGTGTGTGAATTTCAGGGATGCAAATGAAGCACATTTCTGTCCTCTCACATTACTGCCGCTGAGCTCAGTTCATATCTCAAACACTCATGATAGACTGTCATATCAGACAGTCAACTCCGTAGCACTATTTATTAATATAGGTTAAGATGATCAATGTAATTCTGTTTGCTCTAGGTTGTTTGAAAGAAAGATCTGACAGATTGTATTTTATTGTGAAACTTTTGTCGTTTGGTGTGCATAACATTGTTCTAGCTGTAAATACACACTGTGGAAAAGCCCTCTTGATTTTATATGAAGTGTAATACTGTAAATATTCGAAATCTTTCTAACGTTGCAACATTCCATCCTTTTCATTTCTGAATTTCCTATTTGACCAAAGTGAATGGTTGATATTGGTCTTTTAACACCAAGCATTTTTAGAAGATATTTCCTCTTTATATGAAATATTGTCTTATTTTTGTATTTGATAGCTATTTATTTTTTTTAATCAGCTATTGGTGATGCATGAGGCCAGTATACAGAGTATATTTGTATAGGCTGGAACGAGTAGTCTTGAATTAAAAAGGCAGAGCAGAAATGAATGGTGCTATTTATTCATTTTCTCACTGTGAGAATGTCAACCCATCCTTAAGATAACTTTTTTTTTTTTTTTTTACGTTTTCTAGGACCTCTGTTATTCCTGTCAGAAATGGTAGAGGAAAATGGAATCTACAGTTTCTGTAAACTGGTTGTCATTCATGTCTGCATAGCTCAGGAAAATAAGTACAGAAGCATAGGGTGTGTCAAATAGTTGTCAGTTTCAATTAGTGAACTACTCATTCATTAAACTCATTAAAAGACTATTTACCCAAATTCATATTTTCTCTTTTCTGTCATTACTGAAGTGAATCAGATCTTGTCACCTCATTACCACATTTGAGTGGAGTGGATTGTATGCTGAATAAAGATATTAAACAGTTCTTAATTCAGAGAATCTTTTCTAGTATTTATTTCTGTCCTTGTCTTTCACAAGGTCTGACTAGATTTACACCAATTGAGTTGGTCATATGGGCCAAGAGCTTTTGTTTGTTTGTTTGTCTATACATATACCTGTACAGCAGGTGTCAGTGTTGCTCTTAATATAGCTGGAAACAAAATACAAACATTCATTGCTTTTAATTCGAAGCACGTTATTTAACAAGGTAACATGGGGTTAAACAACCTAAGGGCTACATGGTCATTCTATTCTATGGGACCACATACAATGCAATCTTGGCATTACCAGCCCAAGACAGTGAATATGGAGAAAAAAAGAAAATTGTCTTGAACTCGTGCAGTTTACGACTGAAGATTCAGTCTCTGTATATCAAAAGCGGAACAGAGGCAGAACATAAGTGCGCATAAGTGTACGACCGCTGCTGAAATGTTCCTGGATTACTAAACGCAGAGTTTAACGGTTGGCTTCACACAAGCATTGCCGCTTTGTTCTACAGACGTGTCTGGTTGCCGCTCTCTGGGGAACACGTGTTGTTGGAGATCCCTCAGCTGCTGGCTCAATTCACAGTGGACGAGTGTAATTCACAATATAACAGAGAATAAAACAGGAGAGCCAACACACGACACAGATGTGAAGCGCAAATGAACAAACATGGAAGAAATGACAAAGGAGCATTTCCAGACGATACGAGGAGATGAGCGAGATTAGGTGAGAGAGGAAAAATACACAACAGATTGGAGCAGTATGGCTAAAGTATAGTGACTTTTATATATTTATTACAATTACATAAATTAGAATTGTGATTTAAAATGCAAAATCACATATAAAACGGGTAGATTCAAATTCTATCATTTATTCTTCTGTCGAAGGACAAACCAATATATATATATATGAATATATATATATATGAATATAT